TTGGGCTGATTGCTGAAATGATTTGAAAGGCTACTCATTTCCAGTAAACACAAGGTAACAACCGATAATTTGGTCTTGGGCTTCCTGAGGAGAAATTGCGAGAGAAGGCTCGAAACTTAAAGGTGACATACTTGTGCCTGTTATAGTTCCTAATTGAAACTATTTACCAATTTTAAGAATTTTATTTACCGACTTTTCGTCTGATCGTCTCCTTCAAAGGCCTTAACGTAACTCAAGATGATCTGCTATTCGTCGAACAGACGCTCTTTTTTTTCTCTAGCAAATCCGAAGGCACGTTGTTTGTTGTTTACAGGACAATTTCTTGTCTGCTGCATGGGAAGAAGAGCTGCTTTTGGAATGTCATTCCCACATGAAGTATAACGTATGATCCGTCTCAGTTTATGGGATAGAGCACAGTGCAAAATTTTACACCGTTAAGAAGGTGAAGGCAGCGGGGTCTCGGTAGTGTAAGGGATAGAGAACGGTGTCCGGAAAGCACAATTACGGGTTCGAGTCCCGTCCGAGACTGTAGTTTTGTCCATAAATCGCCATCCCTATGAGTCTTCCGGAATGCGTACTGCGGTAATTAACAAAACACCAAGTTTAAACGAGTAATATCGAATGATTCCATTTCCGAACTGCGGATATTACTCAAATGGGTTTTGTAAAGTAGTCGACTCTATTAAAGGGTATGCCGGAACGGGAGTTTCCGTCCCAGACGGCTTTTTACTCGTGGATTACAACACCCCTTTGTACTAGTACTTTTAACCACCCGACAATGGGATTGCAGTAGTAAATTTGATATATGGCTTGCAAGACCCGAGTAAAAATAGTTGGTGGATAAAATTCCCAGTGCAGCTATTAATGTTATACAACATGGGTCCATTTTCGGAAATTCCATGCCCAACACAAGAGTAACCAAGACAGGGGTGCACTCTAAAGTCCCAACACAGTACAAGCAGCTTTTAGCGCGATAGATCAGATTTTTAAGAAATGCCTTATAAAAAAACAATGTATTACGTCCATGCGAATACCTGGATGTTTTAACATAATAGAGTTCCGATACAAAGGCCTGGCGGGGTCTTGGTAGTGTGAGGGATAAAGAGCTTTTCCCATAATTAGCTACTCTTGCGAGACTCGTGCACGACAGCGAAAAACAGCTGCCAACAAACAACAAAAACAACAAACTGAAATGGGAACTGCTTTACATGGGAGTTGATTTTGTGAGCAGCAGACATCCATGAATGTTTTATCAAAGATGAGTACATTATGAGTAATGTAGAAGTGTTACTCGGGTAGTGCAGAGGTGGTGTAGGGCAAGTGACCACTATCGCACACTCATGGTCAGGGGTTTGAACTTAGGGTCGATATCCGCCTAGGCCAACCAGGCCTTCCATCCTTCCGGGGTCGGTTAATTGGTACCACACTGACTTGACACATTGACGGGTCACAGCAAGTCAGTGTAGGGCCACATACGCACTCAACACAACGACAATTCTGAATGGAAGTCGATAAAGGTCGCATCCTTCAGATGGAACTGATTAATGCCAATAGAGTTTATCCTTTTTTTCGGTCTGCGAGTTGAGCTTAGTCTTCTGCGACCGAAATTGAGGTCTGTAGGCCAGAGCCGTGGTGGAAGTGGCGAGTGCGGATTTTGAGCTTCGCTGGAGTACTGGAGTCCTCACTTGAAGTTCATTACACGCTTTCGATGTTTACATTACATTCATTCAACTATTTTAGTGAAAAGATCAACTTCCAGCGAAATAGAAAGATGAAAAAAGAATATAGAGTAAAGCCATAAGGTTTCTGGGCGTCATCCAACCTCATCTAAATTATACGCCCCGCATTCGACATCCGGGAAGAATCGTGGTGGCGTATTGACTGCGTGTCTGGTCTGTGTAATGAATTTCGGTAGCCATTCGATGTTAAAGTCAGTGCTTTCACCATCCTAGGCGAGTCTGATACCAGTAAACCGACCCCAGAGGATGGAAAGGGTTAGCGTAGGTGGATGTCGATATGGGATTTGAACCTGTGACCCGTGTGTGATAGTGCGCCACTCGCCACTACACCATCTTCAACCAAGAAAAAGTATAATGTGAAATTTGGAAAACACAAGTTGACCACGAAGCTGGAGGAATCAAAAAAACTTAGAGGAGATCTAGTTTGCTATGAAGGCCCGAGATGAGGGCAAACTTGTTACAGGAATTCACTAACTCTATTCTTGATACTGGAAAAGTTGGAGGTGTTTTGATGTTTTGTACGTTGAGAGACGTTTGTGAACGGAATTGTATTCATTCCATTTCTTGTTCAAGCCTAATTGATGATTTGATTCAGGTATTTAACACTAATACAACGCGAACCGAGCATTTTAGTAATCCGGGCGTCCCCGTTTCTCTGGAGGAGTATTACACAATGGGCGTACAGACAAAAAGTAGGAGTAGAAGAGATGAGAATTCGAAAGGGGAAGGACTAACCTAAGGCTAAATTTAATCCTGTCATCTTTTCACTGACTATCAACAAAAAGTTGATTTGGGCAAATTTATTCACCTGTCGCCCTTTTAGTCAATATTTGTTCCCAATGAGCAACGTTTCGGTTAAACGAAATCGCTTCAGAAACTAGAATGTGTCAAAAAGTGCTCGGACATCACTTTTGTTGATAGTCGTACCTACCTTACTGCTTTTCGAGATATTTGGGTTCCTTAGAGCTGCAGGTAATGATAATTTTGAGCTACCCTTTCCAAGTTGAGAAGTTGGTGGAGAACAGGGCATAATTAACGAAAAAAGCGATCAAATTCGCAGAATTGAAGGAATTTAGGGGTCCTAAAACTAGTGGAACGCGAGGGTCATATGAGACTGTCATGATGGAAAAGGTATGGAAGGGGTATGTGGACGAGTTTTCGGTTATTGCGAATGCGTAAAGAGCTGACTACATCAAGCCAAAGTGTTTAAAACTGCTTTCCATTGTCACTATGGGTATTGGTGTTTGAATTTCTAACATCTTTGTCCCTTGTGAATGATGTACAGCAGATCCATCTCAGGGGGATGTCTAAGTAATCACTTTTGTACTAAAACGGGCTTTCAAGAGGTAAGGTGTGACTCCGGCTACTCTGATGCCAGTAGAGGTTTTGAGTGAGAGTGATTTCGCCAAGAGCTGGTTTTTAATCTTTTCTAACCTGTCTAGCAATACGGGGAGCGTCCGTTCCTCGCGTCCGTCGAACTAGGTCTCCCCGCCCACTTCGCGCGCGGTGCTGCCCACTGCGATCTCGAGATGACATTACGGTACCACTCACTGACAATGGACGAATGACTTGCATTAGTCCCTGTTGTTTTTTCATTAAGCTGACTTGATTTGACTGTCGTAGACCAAACGCCAATCGTATGCCCCACTGACAACTGCGACGTCTGTCAAAAATCGCGAGTTGAAGCGCCGTATACTACGGCTAGGGCGTGACCTAGTTCCGACGGACGCGCGCAACGGAGCGCACCCCTAGCACTATCGCCTGTGAAACCATAAGCCATATGTCTAATTCGATGTACTATTGCCAGCTGAACCAAGCCAAAGTTCCATGGTTAGAGGTTCCAATTGCAACCGTAGGTTGATTAAATGATACCCAACAAATCCACCAGCCCCAGCTCCAAGTTATGGACCAGAGTAAAGCCTCTAATTTGCTTATTTCATGCGTTAGGCTCTGCTGTCAAACTATCAATGCCATATGAACGTTTCCCCAGGCTCTTAATCGTCCCAACAGTTAAGAATCAGCTAGACTGAACGTTTTATGCGTTTTCACCGCTGAATAGAGGCGTCTAGATCTCAGCAGGTGCACTCTTGAGGGTTAGCAAATTTAAAAATAGATTTTTCTAAACTGAGCTATCAAAGTAATTTCCCTGTCTGCTAATGCTTTGATAGCACAAGTTCGGCTTCAAACCTCTTTCGAGGCCGAAGTTTCATCCATAAGCTTATAAGGTTGCTTCAACATGCAAAACATCGTTAGTGAGACGCGAGTAATCCAACTAGTTCTCAGGCTGTCTGCGCTCTCTTATATGCGTGATGACCACTCGCCATCGAAAGGCTGAGCGTTGAGTAAGTTGTGGTCCATCCATGATCTTAAAGGACCCCTGTCGCTTATATGCATCCCAAGTTGCTCCTTTCACCAGTAAAACTTACTTTTCACTATACTAGTATTTCATGTATGTTCACCCTCAATTATCGCACCCGCTGGCGATGACAAAGTGCCAGAAATTCATGATGTCAGAAAACTGTCACTCCTTCATCTCGGGAATGGGTTGAGAGCAGCTTGCCTCCCACAAAAAATTCGATAATGCTCCGATAATGTAGCTGTAATTCACTTTTCAACAACAGAAAATTGTCTTTACCGTAATCTTGGTTATCCTCCACGTACTATTACCAACTGCTTGAGTTATGTACTGTTTATTCTAGAGATTCATAAATGACAAGTTCATATCAAGGATCGAATGAGGATCAGGAAGTTCATCAATCAAATTTCAGTCACTAAAAAGTGACGGAGAGGCAACTTCTTAGAGCCGGCTTGTTTTCATTCTCATCAACTTTTTAATCAATTTCTTTCTCATTTTTCGTTCATATGTTGTAAAGTCGTGAAATCGACGAGTACCGTAGCCATCATCCTTTATGGGAGCGTACTTCACCCTGGAAAAAGTAGTTGAGTAAGCCTGAAGTGGTTCGAGTAAACTTTTAGCGGACTTACTTAGGAGGCGAGGTAGCGACCTCGTCTGAAGGTTCACCAGGTGGTGGCGCGTATTCGTTAAGCTTTTTGCCAGCACGGGGCAATGATGATACATCGGCTAGAATATTCTGGACACCACAATCCGATGGGCAATACGATGCGGGCATTCCTTGAAACAAAGTGAATCAACTGGCGAATTCAGAAACAAAATCACTGTAATGCTCCCTCATTCCCTTTAGCTCAGCGATTTGGTGAAACAAAGTGAACGAGTCCAAATCTTCAAGATAAAACCATTAACTAACCTGGATCACCAGGTGGACCGAAAGGTCCTTCCATTCCAACAGGTCCCTGGTCTCCCACAGGACCAGCCGGACCAGCTGGTCCCGGAAGGCCTGGTTCTCCAGGATTGTTCGATGTCTTTCCTGAAACAAAAGAGTTCTGGAATGTTGAAATACTAAAAGGAGCCTTCCTACGTACCATGAGGTCCTGGTCTCCCTTTCATTCCTTGAGGACCAGGTGGACCAATCGGCCCTTTGACACCAGTACCTGCTATGGCCTTGTCTCCTTGAGGACCTTTTGGTCCCATGGGCCCCTGAAACGCTCAAGATTTCCTGAAAGATTCAAACGGATCATGAATTACTGAAGCGACCTGTTCTCCAGGTGGTCCTTGATGTCCTGGTAAGCCTGGCGGGCCGTCAACGCCGCTACTNCCATCCGGTCCAGGCTGCCCTGGGTGCCCAGCTTGGCCTGCCATTCCTCGCTCCCCTTGTGATCCTCTATATTACAACATTGGAAAAATTGGACATGTTGAGCAAAATGTCTCAAGTGTACCTCTGTCCCGGAGGACCTGCTGGGCAGATAACACATGGGAGGTCAGGTTCTGATTCGAGCTGTACATCAAAACCATCTTGGCCTGCAACACCTTGGGAACCAGGTTCACCGGGAGAGCCATCTGGTCCGGGTGGTCCTGGCGGTCCAGGTGGTCCCATAGGGCAAGCCAATGTAAAGCAGCCTGTGATTAGTGTTTATGAGAAGCCAATCAGTTCACAACTTTCTTTCTTGTCAAAATTCAAAGACAGTTGGAACCATGGACTATGATTTGTTCGACAATTGATCCGGAAAACCTCCTGGTCTATTCAACCAGAAACTTTAGCATGAAAAGTAGATTACCAAAGTTGAATGAAGTCACCTTTACAAAGACCGCTATCAAGCCATGCCTTTCGTGGTCGTCTTGAGAAGAATCGGATTCGAGGGTCCGCGGTTTCACGGATTTGGAACATTTCGCCCCATAAAGCGTCGGAAGATTCCTTGAAGGGAATTTTAGTAGTGAAAAAGCAACCAAATCAATAAAATCCCAATCTCACCCTGAATCGACTAGCATGCTCGGCTAGCTCTGATCGTTGGTAATCGCTCCTCATGTAAATGAGTGGAAGAGAAAACGCCAGCAATGCGAGTGATAGAGTGGACAACACAACGGATGTCACCCCAATTCGATAGTACAGCTCCTGTGTTCCAACGGCCATTGCTGGACCAAGTCTCTCAAAAAGGAAACATGTGAAGAATCAATTTCCAGCGAATCAGATCAACAGACTTTCTGAATAGCGAGCAATTTTGTAACACAACTCACTGAGTTCTTCTGAATGCTACGAGATCCGTTCGAGTTTCACTAGCAAACAGTTTTAAATACTTCGCATTTGGATGAGGATGGTAGAAAGATGTTAATTGGGCTGATCACGTTTGTCACCTCAGGCACCACTGATGTATTAGCAGTTATAAATGGCATACTTAGTACCTTCTATGTACTCGATTCATTTCCTTTTTGCGTTTAACTGGAAAGAATCAAGTAGAACGGTGGCGGTACTTCTTCCCGCGAGCGCGCGTGAACGGGTGTAGTGAGCGCGACGAGATTTTCGGAGAGAAGCACGCACACCAGGGATGGACCGAGGAGCGTGCTGTTCAGTGGAATCGAGTTAAAAACCAAATCAAATCGGGTAGGGGTATGCCTAAGGAAGCCGTGACAAGGGGGCTACCGATCCTGACATCGCCAACGTGCGTGGATAGTCTCATTGTCAGGAATGTATGGAATAAACACGAACTGGGAATTACTGATAGCTCATCAGAATCAGTGCAAAACTTTGTATAGGAGATGGAGTTAGCAAATTGCGACGTATACCCTAACTTTACTCTCCTGGCACCAGTAATCAATCACTCATTATCACTAGCAATGAGTTTATCTATAAGCATGTTTTTGCTGCTACTGAACATATTCTTCTCTCAAGTTCTGCAAGTATTCATTAGAAAATCACCGTGTCTTGTAATCACCGGTTCAAAGAAGGTTGTCCTCGTTTTTGCGACCTTGTCTGCGCTCCTCAATGAGACAGTGTCCGACTGGCCAATTCCTTTTCCACTCCAATTTTGGCATGGGAAACCATCTCCCGAATCCCGCGATGTTCCTTTTTTTCAAACTCAGGCAGCTCCTTTCCTTGGTTCAGAGTTGATCCTAAGTACCACTAAGGGCTCGCGAAGTCAGCGCCTTTTCCTTATCTATGCTCTAGCCATCGTTAGCTACCAAATTCCCCTCAACTCGGTGACTACCTCGACAAAATTTGAGCTATCGCCCACAGTGCTATTATGCAGGTTCCGCACAAATAAATAGTGAAGCGAGTCTTTCGACATGCCCATGTTCCAGCATATAAACCCTTCTGCTTGTTCCCACTATACCGCTACTACAACTACTCACTAAAACAAGGAGTACACCATCACGAGAATTCACACAAGCAAAACCCTCCTACTCCCTTTATTGTGCTTTTAGTAGACCTTTACCAACCGTGAGGTACGCCTGTACGATTGACACCGGTGCTGCTCATTTATACTTCTCATCGACTGGGCGGGGCTGGCTCGTGATCGTGAGAGAGTGGAGAGTGCAAAGAAGAACCTCATCGAGTACAGGGATGTTCTCTCGTGCAGAGGCATGAGACATCAATTAACAGGATCAAATACCCTGTCTGGATTCCCACACGCAATTCTTCTTCGTTATGTCTCCATGCCAAGCATTTCGAATTAAATCTCTGTACATGGTAGACCGTATGAGGGAATTACCGTTGCTAGCCGTCCTAGTGCTTGTGAAGTTCACGATGGACACGCGCGAGGTGGATTCTGATAGTAGCTCTTTAGTTCTATTCCCGTATGTCTAAGGTTCAGCAGCTTCTTCCACATTAATCCTGGACATTTTTAATATATCTAACTGTACTCAATATGAAACCAGAAGGTTGAATGTTTAAATGCATCGCTTCACTTTGGAATTCTTCGAGAGATCGGATCCTCTCATGTTGGCTGAATCTTCCTATAGATGAGAGATTTTGCCACTGTGAAAAATATTATACAGCACTGGCAGTGGAATAGAAGAGGTTCTAAACAGTAAGGCAAATCGAGTCTGAGTCCGCGAGGGAGGGTGAGTAATGTTAGTCCAATATATGTATATTACAACGTATACTCTGGACTCACAACGCTGTTTGCACAAAGTCCCGGCATCTTTCTCACCAGGTAGTGGCAGACTCTTGGCAGAAAATCAGCACCGAACTGCTCACTGGCCTAGCTTAGTAGCAAACTATTAGGTTGATGCATAATTATTGCGGACTTTTTTCACCAAATTTCACTTGAAGAAACGATAGGAACTTCTAGCAAAGGCATGTTAAAATAATTACTCCAAAACATATCTACCATCTACGCCAAGCACTGCTTCCCATTTGCTAGGCGGTCGGATCCCACAGGCAGAGAATTTTCGGTTCTTGGAGGCGGTCACGCCCTGACGCTGGCTGCCAAGCCATCTACTTCGACGAAAGTTCTGTTCGTTAACCATTTTTTCAATGGGCGAACAACGTGATAATCCATAAGACTATCTGGTGGTGAATAGGGCGAACGTGGAAGCAGATTCCACTTTTTATTCGGTCTTGGGTGACTGCTCCACCGCCGCGATGTTCGTTGAGATCACGTTATGAGTGCGCCGCCTTCCAACATTTCTCGAAGTAATAGAGCATAATGTGGCGTATATAAAGATGGCTTTCAAGAGATATCTCTGTTGTGGAGAGCAAGAAGATCATTTTTACGAAAATCCCGAATTCATAAGTTCAATTTTATCGATAGAAAAGTAACCGCGAAAAAATCCGCAATATTTATGCATCAACCTAATAGTACATTGGACTACAGCACTGAAATGACTACATATGCACACCGAAGATCGATGCCCAGGGAACATTCACAACCAATCCCAACGCACTTCTATTTTTTATTTAGTTTTCGATTTTTGCCGATCTGAAGTTTTCGAGTTTTTGAGGAACTTAGCACTTTCTTAGACTGCACTTTTGGAGAGAGATCGTATCAAAAATGTGTATCTCACTTTGGACGCGTCATTATCTTTCAATGCACTATGGCGACAAAACAAAATAACCTAGAAAAATCTGAGGTAGGAAACATCGCGGAAAAAAACTAAACAACAAAAAAAGGAATCGTTAGTTTTTACTTCTGCCTCGAGGTTTGTAGGTGGAAATATTTATTCCGGCCGTCGTTTCGACGGACTCGTCGTTTTCAAAGGCCTGAAAGTGGTTCAAAGCGTGTTGATTGTACACTACCCCACCAAGCGCCTCTTCCACTCTAGCGTTTCTGACGTACTATCAAGAATGCACGAAAAATGTCCAAAATCCGAAAGGTA